AGTCCAGTCGTTCAATTTCATTTTGACATTATGTTGATGAACTGTTGTCTATATTATCATTACTTTTCTAACCATATCCATCTGCCTACCAGAAATGATAATATAGCTTTTCCACTACACCTACTTACTTATATCTTTTATATGGCGGATGTCGTCGATGGAACAGGGGGCGCTTACTCTGCCGGACCTCCTGGTCTTATTCGCCTTTTTCAGGACTGTCTATTAAGATGTTTTGGTCTAGATTTAATGAATTTGAGTTTGGATTATAACTATGTTGATATGTTGTTATATTTTTGTTTTTGCAACTAGCAGGATACATTTCCACCAAGTTGTAATATAAGTGTGGTGATTTCGGTTTCCCTCTTCGGAATTTGGTCCCATTTCTAGATAGGCAAAACCATGTTTCATCTTCTTCATAAGTCTACGTTGGTGATGTATTTGGGTGTATGTAAAATCATTTTCCCTAGTATTATCATTTCTCTCAATAACACATTTCGACAGCTGACAGATAACACTACAGCATAGGGTTTCGGATGATGAATGTTGATGAAACCTGTCAGGATGTTCAAACTTTGCCATCAGGAACTCGTTAGGAAATATAATATTGTCTGCAAGACGTTAAAACTTAATTCTCAAATGAAAACGCGACATTTATTTTAATAGACCTCGATTTCAGCTAGTCTTGTCCACGGAACAGAAGACGAGACTCCTTCCAAAACGCATACCTTTTTCTCCATGTCCTTTTCTACTGTCTTCGTGTAAATGCGCGCTTTTATTTTGCCTTCGTCTCATGCGTTCTTTTGTTGAAATTGAAGGAAACTAGCTTGGCGGTCTTCATAACTCAGTATATAGTTGTTTTAGCTGTTTTCAGAATTTCTCTCCTTGTGAGATTTTATTTTGGAGTAATGTACATGTATTAAGATATTAAGAAATATATTTAATAGAAGTGTTTTCAAAACGAGCTATAACATGCATCAATGGTCTTTCCGGTGCCTCTTTACATGAGATCTTCTTGCCTTTCCCAATTTATGATAAAGTGTCATTATTATGAAAATGTACAGTAACTTCAACTAAAGCTAAGTCGGTTATATCTCATAGATTCAGTATTTCGCCGGTCAAAATGTAACATGTCAGTAGAAAATGGTTTGTATAGAATGGAATACGATATTCTGTAAAACAACAACGCATGGACATTTCATCGGTTCGAATTAATTTTTCATCAAAAACATTGGAAATTTTTGCCCAAGAAAAGAATTACATCTCTTTAAAAATGTCGCATTTTACGTTAAACGGGCGTAGTAATCAGGATGTAGTTAGATCTCATGGTGCAAAAAGTGTGCTGATTTAAGTTCACTTTTTCAAGGGGTTTTCTCGGAAGGTTAATTAGTGATTTGTAGAAATGTTCGAGACCAGCGCCTCTGGGTACAACCGCCATTAAGCGGCACAGAGCGACAGGTGCTGAAGTGGCTGTTCAATTGGGCGTAAAATTATAACTTAGGCCATGTGTGTTCCCATTAAACAGATAATATCTCCTCCCTTTGTTGGTAAGAAGATTCACGGATCGTATAGAGACAGGGTATCGGTTCCTCAGGCTCTGTTGTCGCTGAGGCAATAGACTGTGGGCTTCACTGACGTTTTAATAACAACTCCTCGAAAATACAATGGAATCAGTTAGGCTGTGCTTTTGCAAGAAATAAAGATGCATTCGTAAGGGGTAAAATAATGCGGTCCTTTGTTTTTTGTACAGATTGTATTTCCGAATAGTGTTACTGTGAGGTAATATGATGAACTGAACCATATGTTACATAAAATTTAATTATCTGTTATCAGGTCGAGAGGAAATGTCGAGTTTCCAGTGAATAATGTAATCTTATAAATCTTTAAGTGAGCACATCTGCAAAGTTCCTAAATGTGTTGGTAAGAATATGGAGACGTATACTGCTTTGTGCAGGCCAAAGATGTGCTGTAATATAATTGTGTTTACAGAATGTAAACCATGGTTGTGCTGACGTATATGTCTTCAAACTGTTCCAAATGGTTTAAGAAACATATGATTATATATCAGTGCGATATTCAAATATTTTTTCTGCATTCACTCCGAACTTGCGGTACGCAGGGACCTCAGTACAAACTACAAACAAATAACAATGATTCAATTTTCATAGAATTATGTTTTTTGTTTATTGTGTCTATCTGTACTCGCATTGTATGAGAAACAATGCGTCACATAGCTATTCACAATGATGTCATCATATGTGCACAAATATCAATGACGTCATAAGAGATGTACACAATTTTCAATGACGTTAAGATACACTCACAAATATCGATGCGTATTATTTTGGTTTTTACACATGAAATACAAGCCAACATCAAATGAAAATACGACGGTGTTGACGTTAATCGGGCTGCAGTGGTTCTAATGGTGTAGAATACACGTTTAAAACATATATCACATTCATTGTATTTCAATAAGGTTACACCACAGTCAATCATGACAATACTAATGGTCAAAGAATAAAGTTAATGAAGTTTCGTTATATCAACATGAAATGATTTTTGAAATTGAATAAAAATTCGACTTGAATGGAATGCTGTCAATACAGAACCCTGTTTGTACTGCAGTCTTTAGAACTGCCGTTTCTAATGTAAAAAGAAAATCTTTTGGTGATTGATTTTAAAAGAAATAACAGAAATTATCATTGTATCTTAGTACTTATAGCCGGAGAGGCAGTTATAATCTTCATTGGGAGGATTACCGAATTCCGGAGATTTCAAGTATAATCATACTTAGGAGTGAACATGAACCTCAAAAAACCTAATAGTTACTAGAGTGGTTGTAATATAACATTCCAAGTAGCAATGGTTATTAAGGGTCGACTGGCCTTGTAGACTTAGGATACTAATACTTGAAATGGTAAATCGTGTTGTTTGTGATATAAGTGATAACATATCTATACACGTAAGCAAGGAAAACTAATAATTCGACGAGAACGAGACAGAACATTGGTTGAGACATTGGTTTTGATTTTTATTTAATGGGAATGCCTTACAAATCCTTCTGGTTTAGTTTTGAAGTTAAGCATTCGCTATGTATCGAGTTCTGTATAGTTTTTCATTGTTTCAGAATCTTATAAATTGAATGTTTAATCTTCACTACTTTGTTCCCTTTACTCTTGAGAATAACTCTCTTATTGTCGCTAACGTGATATTACAACACTGATGTTTAAAGAAAATATGTCTTTACATGCATAGAGACGGGGGGAAGTCATCCATTAGGATTATGAAACAAAAATCGCTCTGATCGACAATATTTATAGTTTGATAATTTGCTAACAACCTCTAACACAGAGACACAATATTTACTGCGTCCAAATATGCTAATTCTAACAGCAAGTGACTTATTCTGAAATGCAAATTTCATTACCATTTTACTTTTTATGCCTCTCTACACTAGACACCATAGCAAGTGACTTATTCTGAAATGCAAATTTCATTACCATTTTACTTTTAATGCCTCTCTACACTAGACACCATTTAAATATACTTTGACGTCATAATTGTGGGAGACGACGGTACAAATTTCAAATGTTGTGACGTCAATACATTTAATGCTATATTGTGTATGGTTCGACGTCACGGATACGTGCATGCAAATAGTAATAAGTTGAATATTCTATACTTAAGTGGAATTTTGTAATTGATTCCAAATTTTAGTTGTACATACATATGTGTTTATCACTCTTAGGCTTAAATTATTTGTTAACAGTTGCGTCCTTAATTTTGTTTTCAAAAGCATATCAATGATGAAGGAGGAATGTTAAATTTGATAGATTAAATAACCAATCTGTCCCTTTGAATATGCTTTAACATAAACCATGATAATTGATAAGAAATACTAAAAAACAATAATTTTCGCGATACATATGTTCACAATTTAAATGATGTGACTGATTCGTAATTGAATATGTTGTCCATCGATTTTATATTGAACAAATAGTACATATATTTGAAAAGAAATCAAATATTAAGTGGTTCGGATTTCACGCGTGGACCTAAGTATATGCGAAAATTATATGAATTTTAATGATAAGGAGGTGATGTTACTGGTCACATTAAGTAGCGTGATCTTGATGGGTTACCAATACATAAGGATATGACCATATTCCACAAATAGTTCATACAAACAGTTTGTTCAGTTTAAGTACCTTTCTTCTGGTTTGATAGGCATACCGACAATTGAAATCATACGCTTCTAAATGTGGAGAAGGGACAAACAGAATATAACTCTAATTAATATGTCCTTTCCAAAGATAAATTACCGAGGGTTTTAATGCATTGAGTCGAACAAAATGAAACATTTAAGATATATGACGAACATCAACATGATGAAATGGGATTCATAACAAACGAGTCTCAAAATAAACAATGTTAAAAAGACAATGTTGATCACAGATATCGGGGGAAAACTTATGCACCTTTCTGGAATTTTCCAATTCCACAGGCCTACAGTTAATAAATGCAACTATCTTGTCATTTTATAGGCCAGGACACGCGGATCTCGTTCTCCAGAAATGGAGAGGCGATTGTCGTTCGTTGAATGCACCACAGGAAACGTAAATTCTGAACACTGCACATGCTTGGGAATGTTTTTGCTGTCGCTTCCCATTCGTCAATAGATATGACATACGTAAAGAGGACTATATCGAACAATGTATTTACATGTACAAAAGAACGTGTTGTTCCTAAGTCGTTATAGTTTCCCCATAAGTATTTAGTAACTCGTAAACACATATATGGTCGTGCAATTTCGTAAAACTCTGGGGTCCGGAAGGTCGTCGACCAATACACACAAAATGATCTGGGAGACTTTGGTGCGCGCGCGCTCAACAAATCCAGTACTATTATTAGCCATTAAACAACGATTGACGACACGACAAGTGTTTCCTATAAATATAATTCTATAAATAGAAGTTCCTCCTAGAGTGCACACAAATTGTTCATAACTCCGGACTATTACTCTTCAAATATTTTTTATTGTTTTTATTTTTCCTTCTTTCTCCTCTTCTCTTCTTTGATCGGTGCCGTCGCCGTTTCCGACGTGTCCCCTTTGTCCGAGATTTTGATTCATTGTCTTGTTTTGAATATGGTACACAGCTACAATTTTTCACTACTTTAATTCTATAAGTTCGATACGTGTCAGGTGGGCACAGTAACATAACTCTCTGTCGCCGCGTTTTGGTCGCCTTACACTTCCAGTGTTTTACATACTGGGAATGCCAGTACTTTAGATATTCGCCCCACCAAGGTCGATTGTCTTGTCTTGCGGGGTGGCATCGCCCCGCACACACTCTCTCTATCAAAGGTTCTTTAGATGTGCACTTCCCGTCATACAATAATCGCTTCGACGTCAACATCTTGCATTTGATTGTGACCTCATCTGAAAAGACAGAAAGTTATTTAAAACGATAATCCAACTTTAAATAATGATTTGTAAAACAGTAAGAAGGAATCACACAATTCAAATCGAAATCATTTAGACATTGAAGGAACAATGTCGAAAAACAATATCAAGGGTGTTGCAAACCGTCAATAGAATATCAGTGTCTAGAATGCGTTGAAATGTTATGTAGCGATGCAACAAATGAGTCCACACAGGGACGATAACTGTTTAGCATTACAAGGACTAGTATAATAAAATCATAGTGATGAAAAGCTTACTCGCTGTTAATCATAAAAGCTTCTGCAACAGAACATTATTATTCTCAATAAAGTTACATCTACCCTACATTGCCCTTAAAGCGTACAAGCATTGCCTTAACAAGTACACGGTCACATACATAACGTCACACTGCTGGAAACAACAAATGAGTCATATCTAGAGATTTGGGCAACACTCCATATCTCTCTTCAATATATTATACAATATAGCTCATCTCCGGGAACAGAATGCACGCAACTTGTTTTATGAAGTGTTTAAATGAACGTTCAAAATATATATCTATTACATAAGTATGGCCATTGTTTTTTAACTAAATATACACACAAATGTAGGTCATAGAGAAGTGTTATCGGTTGGTGCTCTAATGGCGGCTCAGGTAAGAACACAAAAACTGAAAAAAAGAAAAGTGCTGAATTGACATATACGTCTCTGTCAAAGACCAAACAGCTCACCTTACGATTTCGTCTATATAAACACAAGCGTCCTTGTCAATACAACCAAGTCTTAAGATCCGTACTAGAAAATATACGTAACGAAAGAAGAAACATTTATCGGGTCACTGATTTCAATTGACCCACGTCACATATCAAAACACTTCAAAAATACATGCCTAAAAAATAAAAAGGCTGTATTTCATGAATGACTTTTTGAAGATAAGAGAAGGCAGTATAGGACTTTTATGTCTGGATTTTAATCTAAAGTGAGCCAAGGCGACTTATTTTATTGAGTTAAAGTTTATATTGCTATAAACATACGAAGGTGTAGTAGCACATTTATAAACAGCGATTGTCACAGGTGATTTACCATCCGTCCCGTTCCAGATATCTCAGATGGTTTGAGTATTTGTTAATATTCTTGTGTTAAAACCATTGTATAAGGCATATTCTTTGTCCCTAAAATGTTTTAAGAACATCGAGATAATGAGAAAGCTTATTATACATTGTAGTTATGGACATTATATAGTGTGCAATTCTATTTACAAGTTTGACAGTTGCAAAGATTAGATGCAAGGATTTTCTAGTAACAAGGATAAGGGTCAACAGTTCAAACATGTCCAAGTAAGGTAAGGAAACTTGATCGGTATCGTAACAAAAATATTTAAGCTTAAGTTTGAGGGCAAAATGCACTAAACCAACAATTGAACTTCAAATTGAAAAAGTGAAGATCCAGGAAGTAGCCTTTTTGCAAAACATACGAAATTCTATCGCGTCACTTGACCTTTTTTGCGCAAATTATCACAGGTAATTTTTTAAAATATCTTTTTTTGCATTTAACTACTGACTTTTTCGATTCAATATTTTTATGTTTACCATCTGTAATACATCAAATTATCTTCATGAACGTTTACAGCTATACTCAAAATGTTTCTACGGACAAGTTTGGAGATGGAAGGTAACGTTTTAAAACACTGAATTTGTAGTCTACTGTCACATACACCTCCTTAACACAGGAGATATGTTTTATGACTTGATAATATAACCCTAATGGAAGCAACTTAGATTTAATTGGTCATTAGCTATAGCCCTTAACATAATATTTTAAAAAGTTCATGTTGAGGAAAATTATACGGAAGTGTCATGGCCGTCAGAATGGTCTCAGTGGGAAATTTTCTATTTCTTTGAGTGATTTGAAGTTGAACATGTTTGATTATTAGTTTGCGTGCTTCATCCATTGTTATATACATTGTTCTTATTTGATAACGTGACGTTACTTGCTTGGATTGACCAAGGTTTGCATGCCGGGTGTTGACGATAAAGCAGAAGACGCGAACTTTTCCAGAACACCTGGTCTATTTTCAAGAATCTTCATGTACATCTTTCTTTTGTTCATATTTTGTCCTAGTGTTATTGAATTTAAGTTTGCATTATGATAGTGTTGACATGTTTTACTGTCGTGTTGTATAAACACTTTCATAACTATTACTACATGTAAAATGCTTATTTACAGCCCCAAACGCACCCCTCTGTAGCCCCAGAAGTACCTTTCCGATATGTTACATACGTATGTTAATCACGCAACAGTGACCATAGTCCGTAATGGCGAACTCTTTTGATGGAATCGACTTTACAACCGCTCCGCGTGTTAGCGTAAAAAATTAATGTACCATGTCCCTCGCCAAACGTTGAACTCCTCATTCATAAAATGAAGGCATGTGTATATATATTATGGGGGCATTTATAACGTTGTCCAAATGTTTCATTCATGTGAACGACACTGTATAAAGGATGACACGGGGCCTGGAAACAGGCGTAATTAAGCTAAAAACTGTATCCAATATCTTCATTTTTTGTCGAATAAAATATCAAACGGGAAGAAAAATAGACACAGAAATAAATCGTATTGAGGCAAAGAATAAATCTAACACGAATTTCTGTTTCATTGGCACTTTGCCAATTTGACTTTTTCTATTAGATTTTTTTTCGAAGATTTTGACGAATGGGCTAATAAATGGAAATACAATGATCAGATGCCGTTATCAGCCTTCAAAACTAACTCCATTATTACTTCCAAATTTGAGAAATCTCCTTCTAGTGTAGATGCTTATAAAGTTGAACGCTAGTACTCATGCCCTATCGTACCAGTTTAAATTCGTTATATTACATAACATTTAAGTTTATTGTTTATATAATGCTACTGACATGCATTACAACTGACGTTATCGCCAATCCTCGCTCAATTTGGTATTTAAACAAAGGTGATCTTGTTTTTTTTCTTTCCGAGTCTTTCGATTTTTTAACATTAAATCTCCATTAATAAGCCTTATCGACACATTAAATAGAATCCTAATTAATGCTATCAGTAAATATGTGTTTTAATGTGGTTATTTGAAGCTCTCACAATAATGTAAATAATAAATATTGTGTTTTTATTGCAAAATGAAATTAGATATTTTATTACACGTCTAGAACTTCCGTCAATATTTCACCTATTTAAATGTACGTAAGTTCAGGTTAAATAGATTGATCGTTTTGGTAATGAATAATTCAAATTGCAAATATAAAAACAAATTAACCTAGATATCATAACGTGCAGATTCCTGTAAGATACAAACTGAACGTGCGTCTACATGTTGACGACGGTCTGATGTATTCACTCTATATATATTTTTGTTAATTGGTCTCAGTGAACCAAAATGTTGGAGGTAATTGAAGTATGATAATGAAAGCTCATTCGTTATTGATGAAGAGGATGGAAAAAACATTTAAAAATGTCAAATATCATAAAAATCTAGTAATTATGATTTTATCCATTACGTTAGTAGATTATAAAGTAGTTACATAATAATGTTATCAGAGAGACATTGCAGACAAAAAGATACCTTCCTCAACGGTTGTCAGTTAAGTGGCAACCATACATATTAAAAACTAATAAAATATATGGTCTTTATGATCAAGGTATAATAATAGAGGGCTCGAAATCAATGAAGTGTTAGGAGCGGAAGATTCAAGCTCCTCAGTGATGATACAAACGTGTAAATCATCAAACAGGCAATTCAGAAGGTCTGAAGTACGTTAGCAGCAAAACGAAATGTTTGTCGTTACCAACGAGGAAAGAGGCAACTCAGAAGGTCTAAATCACCAAAAAGGCAACAAGGAATAACGATATTACTCCAGTGGCGATACAGAAGGTGTTAATTATAACATAATAGTTAGATGTCCTCCACCAGATTCCTAATGATAGCTCAGGAAGTGTAAACATGTATTTCAATTAACGAGAACAATACCAATATAATTCATTCGTGCTTTTATCAGAAACGTTTGAATAAAGAATATAGTGACGATAAATTGGAAAGAGATCCATGCACGAGCAGACTTTAACTTTAGGAAATGTTTAGAAACAAGCCCGAATCGCTTTTATCGTTACTTACATTCGGGAACACATTGTTTTCTAGTTAGACGCCAAACTAAGATTGATTGACAGTGTCTTACAGAAACAGAAACTGCTCTCAATTAGATTCAAACAAAGTCGTTAAAACAAATGATGATAACAGAAATGTTAATTCACAACTGTACGACAGTGATAACTAATAGGATCTGAAGTGTTACTTCAGTAAATCTTTAAATTAGGTCAAATTGATATCATTTGTATATAACTAGGGCGTCCGCTTCAGAAAACAACACAAGTGTTTATACAGACCCACAATAAAACTACCTGGTTTCCACTCAGGCTACCCTAGATTACCTTGTGTATTTACGGACGCAGAGATAAAAACAAACTACAAGATCCCAATCTTGTCGCGTACATGTTTTAAAACGATGACGTCATCCATCCTTATCTGAGACAGAAATTTAGGAGACACCTGTCACAGGTGCGGATCCACGTGGACACAGCGAACCGCTTTCTGGTTATTTTTGGAAGACATTTTATAGCTTAAATAATTTATTATTTAACTGTAGTAAGATATTTAAAATTACCAAATCGTTTTAAAAACTCTATTTGATTTTGTGTCCAGAACACGACACTCACTCATCCATATAGGATTGTGTCGGGCACGCCTCCCAGTGAGTGAGACTGCGTGTATTTGTACCGAGTGGTAAACACAGATTTATGAATGGGGTTTGTAAGTTGGGATTTGTACGTACATATATATATATATACAGTTAAACATCGGTGTGTTGACACGATGTTAGACAGATTTCCTCCCCACCTTACAGGTCTTTTACCTGGGACAGGTAAGGAAACCATTCAGGTACAAATCTGCTTTTTCTTTGCTTTAT